TAAGGAATCTGTAGTAAACGTAAAAGTGGTAACTTTACATTTAAAATGCAAAATGCTTGTTCATTTTGTTGAAAACTCCTAACCACAACCTTCCTCCCGCTATTATGTGAACTTAAGTAACCCGATATCAGGCAAACGGCTTACCGACGCGTAAGGATTATTGTGCGTCAATGACGGATTAACTTTCGATAACAGGAAACGAGCCTGAAAAAATTGAACTATTAGTTGAAATCTAGATCACTGCGTAAATTGACTTACTTGAGATCCTTCGTACTCCGTTACAATATATCGAGGCATTGGCCAACGTTCTTGTAGAATAGCAGTCGCGTCGCTAACTGGAGCTTCCAGTAATTGCTTGAAGGTGGCGTATTGTGGATCTTCATGATAGTTCATCTTTTTCCATGCGGCTATCGTCTAAACTTATCTACTAAAAATCCATTCACTTGTTTGAATATTAAGGGGAGTAACCTGTCCATGATAGATCAACACATGGAAATAATCATCCATAAGAAGTATTCTGTCTGGCAGAATTGAAGATGTGTCAAGAAGAACAGGCTCGGGAGGACCGCTTAAATCAACAATGAAATAAGAATTTCTCTAAGATTTTCATAAATTACTGACCTGAATGAATAGCTGAACAAGACCGGCTGAATCATGGTTGTACTTTCGAGAACATTTTCTGAGAACAGAATGTGCCTGTAATTGAAGTGGCAATAGCAAAGCAGCAGAGCGTGCTAGTGAATCATGACATATGACAGCTTTTCATATTTCATTTTCATTTCGAGTCTTCAGGAGAAGATATAGGTGTTTGCTTAAGGAAAAAGAGAGCTTGAGTATAGCGAAAAATTTGCTAATTATTATACCCTACACTTTCATTCAAATCATACAAACAGTCAACATTCTTATAACACAGTCAGTCCTTCCCTTTTCCATGAAAAGTTATGAAATCACAACAGCAGAGTGTCATTATCTAGGATCAACTAGTTATGAATACCAAATGTAATTAACTTAATCATTGATCATGAATTTTCCTTATAGCGAAAGATAAGCCTCGCGCCGAATATAGATTTGTTAGATTTAGTAATAGAATATGTAACAAACACCATGACGCACCTGTAGTAGGCAGTTTCGTCGGGAGAATTATTGAAGACTTGTAAAAATTGTGACCTCCTCAGATGAAACATGAATTGAGGGAAAAGCGAGAACTTGTCTGACAATCGGAACGAATTTGGATCATCCTTTACGTATTCTCCAAACTTTTGGCACTATAATGCAAGTATACTAACCACTGCAAATGGCAACAGGCACTTATGATTGTATAAGCTAACCAATCTAATGAGCGTTCGATCGAGCCACCTAAGTGCTTCTGGTGTGTCATTTTCATTCGTTGCGCGCCACGATGCCAAACGAGCTATTGCCACAGCACCTGCTTCCTGGAAT